TCAGAACGTACCAAATATGGTTTAGTTTGAATCAAAGTACCATTTTATCCCTCCCTTAAACAATATATTTGTATCTACGTTGGCCATAGGCCATTGTTTAAAATAAAGCAGGGCCAATTTTTTTCAATTTATCTTTTATTTTATTATTTTAATACTAATGCAAGAGGGAAGAGACTAAGATTGTATGAAATTTTTAGTAAACTTATCTGATTCAACCCGCCTCTAAGGAAAAAGGTAGTAGGAATAAGACCGGCTTTGATTGCGGATTAAATTGCTGTTAACAATTTAGAAATAGGTTTCGCGGAGCACTTTGAAGACCCAGCAATATAACGATGTTTCTAATTACACTTATGTAATTAAGATATCCAATACAATGAAGAAAGATCAAGTTTTTTCGTTTCTTGTTAAAATTCATAAAGAACATAGAACAGAACTATGATTATTAAGGATGTCCTTTTTGGTAAGTGTCGTGGGGTTTGGTTTCCATTTGAATTGTCAATACCGAATTCCGTTATCAATCAGTTTATGTAATGTGATTTACACACAACAACGATGTCGTTTGGGGCTTTATCTGCGACGACAACAACATATTTGTCACATAGGTAGGAAAAGCTTAGCAACATTTGTGTAGAAGTATTTGAAGATCGATGTAGCATGTATATCTATAGACCCATTCAGTCTTTTGTATTCTAATTTGTATCAACGGTTTTATAGTCTTAACCCATTCGGAAAAAATATGCACGTCTTTATTTTTGCTTTTAGCCCATTGCCTGGCATAATCCTCGACTGAACACATCATTATTTTGAAGTTGTGCATCCAATTGATGGATTTTGGCTTACGAGTTTTCGAACCTTTGGATAACAGATTTCGCAGAGAATTGTTATTTGACAATGCTCAGGTCACCAGTTATAATGTGGCCAGCCGGATTATATATGAATGGGAAACTAGCACAGTAGCAATCGGAAGGTTTAAACTTGCAGTCGTCAATATTGAGATCCTGCAATACGTGTTTGCAATTAAAAATTTTTAGTCGCAATTAGTTTGGTATAGATATAAGAAATGATAGCTACGGAGTGATCTTCAAAGTAGAGAAGTACTTTTGAGTGAACTGATTTATAGTCAGGAATATGGCAGTTGTTATCAAATAGTCCGTTTCTATGTATGTTGGCGTTTGTTTTTGTTGCAGTTCAGTGATTGTGTTGTTGCTTTGTTTTCCTCTTATAGTTGATGTGTTTCCCTCGGTTTTAGTTTGTAATCCGGATTTGTTTTCGCTCAATCGATGTATGACTATTGAACAGCGGTATACTACTGTTGCCTTTATTTATAACGAAGGATGTTACACAAGTTAATGCCAAAGTTTCAAAGGAAGGATTTAGAAGGGATCTTTTCTCTATTTCATCTTTTCCAATGCCAACCGGTCTGAAAAGTCTGTGACTGGCAATATCAGAGATATCTTGTATTGGGTTGAATTGGGAGGCGTAACAGTGGTTTCAAAAAATAAATTGTACAGAGAATGCATCAACATAAAATAAACAATGTAAAATTTGATGTATGTACTGTACCATATCTTTTCATTCATATTCCTCAGGAGTCAATGTCTGTACTGTAACATTACTGTCTCTTGTTTTGTCTTTATACTCTGTCATTAGTTTTCGTACATATTCCTCAGGAGTCAATGTCTGTACTGTACAATTACTGTACAATTACTTACGCAGAAACTGCTCCAACAAAGTTATGAGGAGGACAGATTAAAAATGACACTCCGTAAATTTTACGGACACCATCACCAATTGGTTGATCCGTACGATGTGTCTTTGTCAAAACTAACTAAGGACATTTTTACCACGTGTTAGATTGTGGTTTGTCATTACGTCGTCTGATCTTTTAATTACCGAACGTGACTTATTCCCGATTGTGACTGTTTTGCTGAGTGTGAAACCGCATTGCTATAAGACGTGTCACGGTACCTTTCTATCCCAAATTCATGTATTTAATTTTGATGTTATATTTGTTGTTCTCGTCGGATTTTGTCAAATGTCTTAACGTATTTTCTGTTATATTCGTGTGTTATGGTATAGATAGTTAATCACCCCCTTCATTTATTAGATTTTAGTTTGGTTCAACGAAATTTATACGATATATTTGGTTTACAGTTTGATTCAGAAGAAACACCGACATAGCTAGATAATACAATTAATTATTTAATTACTACCACAATTTGATATAAATAAGTATTGTAATTTTCATTGTTATTAATAAATGTAATGGTAGTATTACAAATCTAATCTTGAATCAATCCTAATCCTATCTTATTTTTGGGAAATATTTTTACAAATTCATATGTGACGTCACTTTGTGTGTTTTTTTAGAATTTCAAATGTGACGTCACTTTGTGCGTTGAGGCTTTAGCTAACTCGGCTGTGTATTTTTATATGTTGGATTAAGTTGTTTTATGTAATGTATCCGTTTTTATTCTGTAGTTAGTCCCCACTTTTGTTTTATCATGTATATCTATTATATAGTCATTTTATAAAATTTACTGTTTGCAAAATTATAAATTATTCTAAATAATAAGGATGTTCTTGTCCCAGGCAGAAAATCCTGTCCGTGTTAGGCGCAACTTTTTGGAAGTTTTGGTCCTCGGTGCTCTTCATCTTTGTACTTGTTTTGGCTTTCAAACTTTTTTTATCTGAACGTCACTGGTTGGTCTTGTGTGGACGAGACGCACGTCTGGTGTATTGAATTTTAAGCCTAGTACCTTCTGCTAGCTATTATTCGTGTGTTTCTTTGTCCTATATGTTCTCCCATTTATTTGTATTGTGGTCCTGTCATGTGATGTTGTCGTTTTGGTGTTGTGTTTGACGTTGCCATAAAAGCGGGAGGTTTGGCATGCCATAAAACCAGGTTCAACCCACCATTTTTTTCTTAAAATGTCCTGTACCAAGTCAGGAATATGGCCATTGTTATATTTTAGTTCGTTTCTGTGTGTGTTACATTTTAATGTTGTGTTTTTGTTGTGTCGTTGTTCTCCTCTTAAATTTGATGCGTTTCCCTCAGTTTTAGTTTGTAACCCGGATTTGTTTTTGTCTCTATCAATTTATGAGTTTCGAACAGCGGTATACTACTGTTGCCTTTATTGTTTTGTCAAGGTTTGTACTCTGTAATCAGTTTTCGTACATATTCCTCAAAAACAAATATGTGGTCTGTGCCATTCTTTTTCGTACATATTCCTCACTAGTCAATGTTTGTACTCTGCCATTACTTTTCGTACATATTTATTAGGAGTCCATGTTTGTACTCTGCCATTACTTTTCGTACATATTCATCAGAAGTCCATGTTTGTACTCTGCCATTACTTTTCGTACATATTCCTCACTAGTCTATGTTTGTATTCTGCCATTACTTTTCGTACATATTTATTAGGAGTCAATGTTTGTACTCTGCCATTACTTTTCGTACATATTCCTCACTAGTCCATGTTTGTATTCTGCCATTACTTTTCGTACATATTTATTCGGAGTCCAAATTTGTACTCTGCCTTTACTTTTCGAACATATTCATCAGAAGTCCATGTTTGTACTCTGCCATTACTTTTCATACATATTCCTCACTAGTCCATGTGTGTACTCTGTCATTACTTTTCGTACATATTTACTAGGAGTCCATGTTTGTACTCTGCCTTTACTTTTCGTACATATTCCTCATTAGTCCATGTTTGTATTTTGCCATTACTTTTCGTACATATTTATTAGGAGTCCATGTTTGTACTCTGCCATTACTTTTCGTACATATTCCTCACTAGTCCATGTTTGTATTCTGCCATTACTTTTCGTACATATTTATTCGGAGTCCATGTTTGTACTCTGCCTTTACTTTTCGTACAAATTTATTAGGAGTCCATGTTTGTACTCTGCCTTTACTTTTCGTACATATTCATCACTAGTCCATGTGTGTACTCTGTCATTACTTTTCGTACATATTTACTAGGAGTCCATGTTTGTACTCTGCCATTACTTTTCGTACATATTCATCAGGAGTCAATGTTTGTACTCTGCCATTACTTTTCGTACATATTTATTAGGAGTCAATGTTTGTACTCTGCCTTTACTTTTCGTACATATTTATTTGGAGTCCATGTTTGTACTCTGCCTTTACTTTTCGTACATATTCATCAGAAGCCAATGTTTGTACTCTGCCATTACTTTTCGTACATATTCCTCACTAGTCAATGTTTGTACTCTGCAATTCTTTTCCGCTTTCGTACATATTTTCCAGGAGTCAATCTTTGGACTCTGCCTTCACTTTTCGTACATATTCCCAAGGATTCAATGTTTGTACTCTGCCATAACTTTTCGTACATATTCCTCACTAGTCAATATTTTAACTGTGCTATTACTTTTTGCAAATAGTTGTCATTAGTAATCGTTTGTACTGTTACTCTTCGTATATATTTATTGGACGTAACTGTTTTTACTGTGCCACCAATTTACGTACGTATTTATCAGGAGTAAATGTTTGAACTATGTCATTTCTTTTTATACATATACATCTACTCTATTTACGTTTTTTAGCTCTACTATATCGTTATTTTCAAATATAATTTTGTAAATTTTGTTGACACAATCGACGTCCGCGGAATTGCAGATGACACCAACACAACAGCAAAGGCTGTTGACTAAAAACATTACTTTAGTTTGCCTGTTTTGAAATAAAAATACAATGTCTAAATATTGCGACTGCATACGTAATGTTTTACTTTCTTCAATTTTTGCTAGGTAATTTGGACAGCTTAATATGGTGCAATCATAATTACTCAAATCTTATTTGAGTTTGTATTTGTTATTTTGGTGCAAATGGTTTCATAACAGTTACAACTGTATCCATATAAATGATAAATAACTGGTAAATGAAAACTAAAACCAAAGTGATGATTTTTGCAGTTTTTATTGTTATAGTAAGGTATACTCCTTTAACTCGAGAATAGTTGAATCATTCAATATCATCCTATTACACTACCTCCATCTTCTATTCTGCAAAAAGGAGATAAAATCAAATCATGATACTGTAGGAATACAGAAAGTATTTGAAAATAAAAATGTAAAAATAATAAAACATTTCAATATACTTAAACACAAAAAACATAATAAAAAGATGTCAACAAAAGCAGCCGAATTCATTGTCTTGAAATTAGATTTTTCAAAATGTTCGAAATCTTAAAAGGTACATGTACAGTTGAACGTTATCGAACTTTATTACATACAACTACAACTGTTTTGAGAAACTTGAGAAAAGAACCATGTAACTTGCCATGCCCCCCCCCCCCCCCCAAAAAAAAGGCCATACATGTAATCCTATAGTGTAGCGACTAAATAGGTAAATTGTGAACTCTGGCTGGTCGTAAAAACAGTCTAGAAACTCGTTAAAACAAAAGTGTTTTATTGATTTTATAAATTTGAAAATTGAAATTTATACTGTATTTGCTAATTTCTATCGTTTGCTGTGATTTTTGTTGGACATGGATTTAAAAATTGAGGAGCCAATATGAATATCCTTAGCATGTGTATGCATCAAATTGGCTGAGGAAAGACAAAAGAAATACGATATATTATTGATCGACTGTTTGTCATATAACTTGTGTACTTACACCGAAAAACAAAACAAATGAATGTTTTTGACAAAATGGAGTGAGCTTTTTGCACTCACTACAGTCCTCGATCTGAGTAGATTATCATAGAAATTGCCCATCAATTTGTATTACATTGTTTGGACGACTTTACAATATTGTTTTTAATTTTTTTTTGTAATAATTTAATTCGAAACTTTCCAGGTATAGAGCAGATTTTTATCGGAAAACACTACGGTCTGTGTGTCATTTAGTAGTTATTTAATTATTATCGGATAAGTTGACTGACAATGCATGTACACAAAACTGCGATGAAAAAGTAATATACATTCTTTAACAAGTTTCTGTACTACCAATGGTTAATCCATAAAAGGTTTAGAAGTGTAAGTATTATGTCCTTTTACATGCCTGTTGTATAGAATATAAGTGTTTGTAAAGAATATATGTGCATTCGCCTGGTTTGTTGACTGGCCATGATGTCAATATGTCTTGTTCCATGATCAAATAGATGCTGTTTTATAACAGTAGGGAACTCGACGTGTGTTTTGAAGGTATCCTTTTATATTGTACATTAGAAAACCAATTTTAATCTGAAACAGTCATTTTGATCTAATCAACTCTTAAAAGACTGAACAATAAATTTTTAGGTCATTTTCAGACTTTTCCAATGGCTTAAATTCAGTACTGTTCAGACAATTCGCTAGCTGTTCAGTCTATGTTCAGATTGTTCAATAGTTGTTATTTACCTGTTCCTATCATCATAATAAGGATTGTCTGAAAAGCTACTGAACAGTACTGAATTGACTGCGAGAGAATTGTCTGAATTGTAATGAATTAACTGCATTGGACAGGTCTGAAAAACGACCGAGAGACTAAAGGTGACTGAATAATTTATTGTTCAGACTTTTTAGATGATGTTAAGCTCAAAATATTTTTGACTTATACATTCATCATAGATACCAGGCTAGAATTCATTTACTAGTGGTATTAATGAAGAAATGACGTTTCCTCGTAGTTTGAATATCCCTTTGGTATCTGTCGCCTCTCATTTTCCATTGAATATAACATGATCAAGTATACTCTCTTTGATGTTTGTTTATGTATAACTTGATTCTTTCAAATTAATGTAAATACTGTATTGCAAATATATAATAGTCAACAAAAGAAACGATACAAGGCAATGTACTTTCCATATATAATGAAATTGGATACACTGTACCAAGGTAAATAATTGCCCAATTGGTCAAATATTTACAGAGTGTTATTTTCTTATCAAAACCATCGATTTAAGGCAAACAGGCGAATTTTTTTTTTTTGCAATTTTTGTTATTTCAAAAATTGTATTTTCACCCAAAAATTCAAAAATCGATTTTTGAACTTAAAACTTTAAACGTAAACATGGTCTACTTAAAATTATGAATGACTTTGCAGATATTTGAATACTTAATTCTCATCTTCGAAATTAAGTGCCGACTATTGTCATCATTTTCCGTAAAATAAATTTGACCCCTGTGTTCAATAACACGGTATTTTCTCACTTTCCAATTTGGTCAGATTCTTTTAATCATATACATTTGCTTTGCAAATGAATGTTTTTCATTGGATAATTTAACAGTTTTTCCTTTTTATTATATTTTATGATAAATTTGAGTTCAAACTTGTGTATTGTTACTTTTGTTGATTCGTATACATTCATAGCATATTAACTTGATTTGTTTATTTTCTTGAAGTTTCTAAATTATTTAAAACACCGAGGCATATCTTCCCCAGTTAAGGTATATAGTTTTTGTTTTTCAATCCTTTTTAACTTCGTAAATGAATTGGCTGTCTTTCTGTTTTGATTCGACCGCCGATGATGAGTCTTGTATAAAAGAAACGAGCGTCTAACGTACTAAATTATAAGCCTCGTATCTTTGATGAGATTAACAGACACTTTTTCTATTCTACTTTGGTGGAAGTTTCGATCTGAGTGTATCAACAGCCAAGTACATGAAGTAGTCAGCACTCTTTTCTGACATTCAATAACATTGATATGATTATTTTCTGTAAATTTTACTGTTGTTGCACCTAACACAAAAACTTCCACAACAGACCTAGGAGGAAAAAACGACTGAAATTGACACTCTTTATTTTGTTAATCGAGAATCTGATCCGTTGAAATGCTTTTTTATACTGCAACTGTGCAATCTGCGCCAACAAATCGATTGACTATTTATTTATTTGTGATATAAAGTCACTGACCGTATATCTCATTTTTTATGACGTTGACAATGCGTCTCGTAGAATTTTATTTATGACATCAATAAAGAAAACATTTTCGCAGAACTTTTACGTCGTGCGCTTCAAATTCAAACTTAATTGTTTTTACCCGAAATATTTCATCTGGAACATAAGGATAATAGCCGACATATAAATCTTATACGTGGCAATGAATGAAAGAAATTCAATAAAAAAAATAATTCGTGATATTAATGTGAAAAGTGACAATCGCAGAGAAGGCACATGAGCGAGTTTTGTATTTCATAATTAAGACAAATTTTATATAGAAAAGTGGGTTTATCTGAAATATCTTAAAGTCATCAACATACTCTCTTTCACAGATGTAGCCAGCTTTTACATCACAATAATGATCATTCCAATGATAGTTGTCAGGTAGGAAAAACATTGCACAATCCTGATGTGACATATAGTTGTCAGGTTGATTAGGTGACCAATCAGTGAACTCCATTTTTTCCAGTGTAGATATCCACATCCATTCATTCTCAAACACGGCGTCAGTTCCACCGATCCAAAAGTGTTCTTCAAAACATTAAGTATAAAAACTTCCTCCGTAAAAGAGATTATGCGAATATATATGTTCTAACTTTTTTAGGCTATTTTTTAGTAACACCAGACAAAAGAACTATGTCAATTGGACTTGCTTTTATACAATAACTGCCCTTAAATTTTACTAGATAACATTTTTTGTTCGCTATGGAGATTCCGTATATCGTCAAGTTATCGGAATTCCAAAGGGGGCTAACTGTGCACCAATTATTGCAGACATGTTTCTGTATTGTTATGAGTTACAATTTATGACTAAAATCAGCAAAGACCCATCGAAACAACATCTGCTACAAAAATTTAATAACTCTTTTAGATATTTGGATGATATATTGGCTCTCAATAACGACGACTTCAGTATGTACACTAAAGAGATTTATCTTGCTGAACTGACTTTAAATAAAGCTAATACTAACAATGAACAGTGCCCTTTCCTGGATCTTGATATCTATATCTTTAACGGGAAGCTTTATACCAAAATTTATGATAAAAGAGATGATTTTTCATTTCCTATTGTTAATTATCCATTTTTAGATGGTGACGTTCCATTGTCACCATTCTTATGGTGTTTATATATCTCAACTTGTTCGATTCGCTCGTGCATGTAACAACGTATTTGATTTTAACGAAAGAAACCTCTGTAATACTGAAAACATTATTACACCAGGGTTTTCTATATCACAAACTAGTCAAAACATATACTAAATTTTATCATCGGTACAAGGACATCATTCGTAAATATAAATCAACATGCAGACATCTTATACGTTCAGGTATTTCACATCCAATCTATTATGGTAATATTCTTTACAAAACACAAAAAGGTCGGCATTCAACTCAAAAGCTAACCAAACCTTTGAACAGACTTATTCAGAAGGGATATAGTTACGATACTGTTGTCAGGTCATTAAGGATGGCATATTTTGGTATTAATATTGATTCACTCATAGGGTCTTTGCATCGGAAATAAACACATTTATTCTTAAACCAGTTGTTGGCATGATACGGGTTATTTTCTTCTCATATATTTTATGATGGTATGATACTAAACCCCTAACAGGAGGGATTGTGCTTGATTTTCATATGATGAAGAGATAATCTTTAAATCAGTTTAATTTATGTCTGGAGCTGGCATGTCAGTAACTGCTAGTAGTCCTTTGTTAATTTATATAGCATTGTCATTTTGCTTATTTTCTTTTGTTACCTATTCTGACATCGGACTCGGACTTTTTTAAAACTGAGTTTTACTGTGCGTATTGCTGTGTGTTTGTTTACCTACATTGGCTAGAGGTATAGGAGGAGGGTTCATATCTCAAAACATGTTTAATCCCGCCGCATTTTTGCCCCTGTCCCAAGTCAGGAGCCTCTGGTTTTTGTTAGTCTTGTAGTTTTTTAATTTTAGTTCATTTATATGTTTTGTAGTTTAGTGTGACGTCCATTTTCTTGAACTAGTACACATTTTTGTTTAGGGGCCAGCTGAAGCCAGCCACCGGGTGCGGGATTTTCTCGCTGTGTTGAAGACCCAATGGAGGCCTTCGGCTGTTTTCTACTCTTTGGTCGGGTTGTTGTCTCTTTGACACATTCCCCATTTCCATTCTCAATTTTATTACAATGAAAATGTCATTAGTTAAGTAGTGCCTAACGCAGCATTTTGTCGTTTTTTTTTTTGCAGTATCTCTATTGGTTTTTGAAACATGGTTCCTTTGACAAATTAATAAACACAGTTAGCATAAGGTGAGTCTAAGCGTAGGTATGAATATAATACATTTGTATAAGTGTCTTATACGAAAAACAACTTACGTGTGTGAGACGTATTATGGAGCAAATAATTTCGTATGAAGTTGTTCTCATCTGCTGATTCTATTTCTACGAGTTTCCCCTGAAGTCGATTGCAAAACGACTGAAAGGTATAGATAAATCAAGCTTCTTACTTGAACAAAATATGACTGTTCATATTCAACTTATTATATAAATACAAAAATGTCCAACCAATTATTGAATTTCGAAATGACGGACATCCATGAAATCATATTCCATGCAAATCAGGTAGTAGGATTTTAGTGCCAATAACTTCTAAAATACTTATTTTGTTCATTCAAAATAATTTGACCATCTCTAATTGCTAATAATTTTCTTTTTATTATTTACTGTTTCCGTCTTCCGATTAAAGTGTTCCTGATGCAAGCAAAATTATAATCAAAGTACTGAAGTACTGAACATCGGATGACCACAAGTTCTTGAGGATGGTCAAAAGCACTTGTCTCAGAAAAAAACAACATATCTCTTTACCTGAAACTGAGGTTAATGTACAGAGATATATTTTTTTCTAGACAAGTGCGTGCGAGTATGATGAATAAATGATAGGAAATTCAACTTCACCGTAATAACTATTATATTGTAGTGATACAAATCAGTATACACTGATTTGTTGTTATATATTATATTTAAATAACAGTTACATATATATATGATTTGCATCCGTTTGTATATCATTCTATTATACTGTTCTAATAATAGTGCAATGCAAGTGCATGGTGGACACTTTTCTGTAAAAATTCGATTTTTCTAAGATTGGATACGAGTAGGCATTCATATTTTCCCGCAAAAACAATTACAGAGTTACCGGTCCTGTCGCAAAACGTTCTTTGGGATATTCTTCCGCATGCTTTAACACAATTTTTCGGTACGTGTGCATTGATATTATCAATGATTTTTTACTTATATATATATATCTAACTACAAAACATTTTCACATTATTAATTTATGTTGTAAACAAAAATATTTTTATCAGTATTCATTGAAGAGATGTATTTATATCAAATGACAAGGAATGTTATTTTGCACTCGTTTATGTGCGCATATTTATCATGTTTATAGATCGGTTACAAAACCAAAACTAATTTACATAATGGAAATCTAGGCGATAGCAATACATCGGACTGACCTCAAGGTCATCGATGTAAAAATCAGCCAAAATTTGCATTTCAGGTTTAAAAATTTCTACAATGCTTTGTCGGACTGCTGTGGTCAAATGCCGTTTTTTCACTAGATCATCTTTATATATGCAAACTTGCTCACATTTTCCAAATATGTATCTTAACTTTGATGCATATCTTTAATGTACAAAAAAATGTATATACAAACATTTTAGAAATTGGAGGGATCTGGGTTGAAAAATATTTGAAGAACACAGAAAACTAGTAGAATCTTTTCTTTGGATGGACAATACAGCGTGTGTATTTGCAGGATTTTCCATGTATGTATAAAAATATTTTCAAACTCACCTGTTACCAATGTTTTGATAACACCTTAGTGTGTGTTCAATTGGCAGTTACGTCTTTCTTTTTGCTATTTCTATATATTCCTTATTTTATATGACAAATTACATGAACGTTCTTTAAATCAAGCATATAATAACAATTCGTAATGTCACATTGATCACAGACAAACGAAAATAGCACCGTTTAACGTTTATATTCGGTGCAGAATTAAGGGCAAATTATTGCTTCCGACCAGTAGGCATATTATATAATGGTAGATTTTTTTATAGTTTAAATAATTAACAATTTATCTGTATTTGAACAACCAGACGCTTGACTTTATATGTCTAGATAAGATATTTTTCTTTTTGTATAAGACCCTATGTCGACTAGTCCATTGTTTTTCTGTCGTTGCTGTTTTACGTATATTGCCATATCTTTTTAATCATAAATTGTCTAAAGAATCATCTACCAGTGAGTACAAAAAAAGTAAAATAACAAAAATACCGAACTCCAAGGGAAATACAAAACGGAAAGTCCTTTATAAAATGGCAAAATCAAAAGCTCAAACACATCAAACGAATGGAAAACAACTGTCATATTCCTGACTTAGTACAGGCATTTCCTTATGTAGAAAATGGTGAATTAAATCTGGTTTTATAGCTAGCTTAACCTTTCACTTATATGACAGTCGCATAGAATTCCATTATATTGACAACAATGTGTGAGCAAAACAAACAGACATAATAGGTAAAAATGTCAAATATTTGGTTAGAGTAGTCAACATTGTAATATAATCTTAATCACTATAAAACATAACTATTATAACAAAGAAAAACAAAATGGCATATAGACACTCTACAGACACTATAGACAAGGTATATACGCAAACATTAAAGACAAGAATACAAAATTGACCATAGCACAATAACACAATGGCGGTATGTATAAGTACCGAGCCACGCCAAAAGTATATTACCAAAATGGACTAAGCAGTAAAGGTTAAAAATGTACACGGACAAATAAAAAGACCACCATAAAACATAATTAAGACGATAAACAACTTCAGTACCTAGAATCTATACTTCAAGACCATCATGTATTATTTGTGAAGTTGTTACGTAATATATATCAACAAGGTCTTATTTTCTTGCAATGAACTTTTTAAGAAAAAGGACGAGACGTTCTTTGACATAACCTTGGCTCATCAACTTTCTGCTCAGACACTGGTGACGTTTTATAAAGTCTGAGTAGCAGCTGCACGCTCTTGTATACCAAATAAGTTGGGAAATGTATATCCCATATGCAGGTAAAGTTGATATATTGCTGATAAGGTTGGGGCAATTTATAATTTCAAAATTAAAATCGTCTTGTTTGTCATAGATTCTGGTACTGAGATGACCGCTTATGTCAAATTCGAGGTATAAGTCTAAAAATGAGTCGTTCCCCAACACATTCTCTCCCCATTCCACACAAACTCTACCACAAATCTCTTCAAACCCCTTTCTAAAGTTGTATCAGAATCTTTCCTAGAAGTTTCACGGGGTTATGCTCATCACTGGTTATTTTTATTTACTGTAACATACACTATAAGTCATTCGTTAAAATAATTAGCATTCCGATTGCAAAGCACTAAATACAACATTTCCTTGTTCATGATACTCCATGAATTTACATGTTGCTATGAAACATGCTATGAAAAATATTCATCCATTTAATATTTTTCTGAGAATTTACAATAACATTTCTAGTCCCAAAATACGGTAAAAACACGTTACTTCAGCCCAGATAAATTACATGTGATGTAGATCGTAGTTCGGATTGAGAATCTAGATAAATAAGAATTACGTTCTCTGTGGATAAATTAATTTAGACAAATGTTCTGTCTGTCATCTATGATCGTAATAAAACAGTTAACATCACCACTTCCACTGTTTTATTCTTCAGTAATATTGTGAATCTTTATGTACACGTTGAATGTAAACGTTCATGCAGTTTGTCGTTAGCAGTGAATTAAATCCAAACAAATAATACGAAAACTACTGATAAAGAGAGAAGTAATTGACCATACACCCAGCGAACACTCACTAAGATGAACAGAATTTGGAATGCAATGAAGTCGCACGAAGAGTGCGTTAAAAGAAAGTATGTCGCACAAATAAATGGAATAAAAGACTTATATAAGCATGCATATACTAATTACGATCCACCTTCTATACTTTTACACGATACATATTTGTGATATGTTTGAAAGGAAAGTAGTATTCCTAATTCTTTGGTTATGTACTTTTTATGCGTTTGAAAAAAAAAACAGAATTATGGAATTACCCATAACCATATTTGATCTGTATAAAATGTTCACTCAATGTATTTATAAGTACAAATCGATAATATTTGTTCTTGATTAATTTTATTGACTGTAAATTTTGAATGAACCTATTAGAATCGATGTAGTTTAATCAAATTAATCAACATATTATTTCTGGTGCACATTCTCAAAATGTCCGGTAAGAATCGGCCGAAGGTCATCCATAACCTTAAGTCATTACAGAAGACAATGTCTATGTCATACAGTTTCAGATTAAATGACAATTCTTCTTTCGTTTTCAACCGCCAAATATTGAGATCGTCAGCTAAAGAATAGTATGAACCATTTGAAAAAATGATGATTAGGATAACTGCTACCCTCGAATCAGGAGTATGCAAATAGATGTTTCCCTCAGTTTTAGTTTGTAACCCGGATTTGTTTTTATATCTATCGATTTATGAGTTTCGAACAGCGGTATACTACTGTTGCCTTTATTTACCTCTCAACATAACTTGTTTAATCGAGGTTAGGGAACGTTTGAAATAAATAGTCTGAAAGAAGTTGAAAATAATTAAAAATCTCTAATATGATACATATACAAATGTATGCAACAGTAGATTACCGATGTTCGAATCTTATAAATCGATAAAGAAGATACACATCAAGGTAAAAACAAAATCCCAAGGCAGAACCCTTTTGTATGATAGTGCTGAACATGTTAAAACTCTCTTTATCAATAAATTGTGACAACCATGACCCCGGGTTATCATTCTTTGTATACCAATGAAGAACAAAACGACCAGAGGTTAAATACTATGTTTACTAACTACAAGAGTGATATTACAAAATGAAATCAGGTCATTTTCTTTTATTGAAATGAATTAGTATAACACAATGACCAGAGGTCATCGGCATTGTACTTCATTGCAGAAGAATATGTCCCTAGTTAATCTCCTACGTATAGGACGAGTTTAACAAAATAACCTGAGGTGATTCGACTTGGTTGTATAAAACGAGATAACACATTGACGTTAGGTTTCGTTCGTCTGCACTTGTATAAAAAAATAATCAAATATGCTAGGACACGAGACACGCGTTTTGTCTACAAAAGACTCATCAGTGACGCTTGAATATTAGCGTAGGAGACAATTCACCGAGTTCATCACCTTTGTCTTGGATAGTAAGAACAAAATGATCCTAGGTTATCATTCTAGAATTTGTACATATATGAACCCCCTTTCTATATGAATGAATAACATGATGAGCCAAGGTCATCCTCCATTAACCTATTTCTTTATTTTGGATTGAAAGTCCCTCTTTACTAGAGGGAATTACCTGTGGTCATTTTGTGAAACTAATCAAATTTGATTGGGTTTTGTACATATACTTATCCTAGACACAATTGATGAACTCTGGCCAATGTGTTTTAGAGTTAGATACAAATGAGATGACAGGGATTTTTGTGATCAGCGTTATCATACAAATGGTACTGGCGATTGTTTTTTGTGTTTTATACATGTATCATATTAGAGATTTTCATTATTTTACTCAATTTAATCTATTCCTTATCAACCCCCTCCCACTAATCCCGGTTCAAATGGGATAGGTCATGTTATTTTCATATCCTATGAGGATAGCAGTGACCATAGTCTTAAAACATTTATTCAGATGGAGCATGCCACTCTCTGGATGACGATATATTGATATGTGACGGTTATATAAAACGAAATTAGAATTATCAAGCCTATTTTGTTTGAAGACCCATATATATATGAGGTATATATTTTTTGCGATAATAACCTTGGCAAGGGACGACCTGAGGTCGATTATTTCCGGGCGTTTTCAGAACGTACGTTTCTGACACACAATTATTTTACTTGAATTCATATTCAGAAATTGCTTTTCAACTTAATTATAGTACTGTATCATTATTTTTTAACTTATTTTGAAAATGACAAAGTCTATATATAACATTATAATTCCAGTACCGTTGATTCCGTAAAGTCAATAAGAAGATCCTCTATAAACACATAACAGGATAAGGCATGACTCGTCCATCCATGTGGACACGATGCACCGTGTGAATCTACAAACATTACTTAAAAAATATAATACACATTTGACAATAATTACAATGTAATTTTTTTAATTTTTGGTATGTGTACAGTTTACTAGTTCAATTCTTTAAGAGTAAATTCCAATCTAAACCTCATTATAAACAACCTGTGTTTTTATTGATAAAGCTAGCAATGCAGTTTTAAATTTCTCTTTTAAGTAATACGCAGATGCATAAAACATACTGATCTCTACAAAAAGATCGTCAATTGCACTTTTTGTTTATACTACAATTGCGGTTCAGATATATTTTATCCAGAATCGATATTAATGCTCATAATTACTGACCCCTTTTTACTGTTTATAATTGCAATCTCGACAAATGGAATAAAACTTTATACATTTCATGCGTCCAAATAGCTTTTCGAGATTTATCCCCACCAAGAACGCCCTAACCCAAACACCATTGTTATAGGAAATAAGGTCTCAAACATTACACTTGTTTTCCAATTTGTAATCAAAACCTGTCTTACAAACGTCCATCCACATCTCAAATTTATTAATAAACACATCTTTCATCCTAATGTAAAAAATGGTGTCAACGGGAGAAATCTGACAAAAAGTCACTTGATTACTATTTAAATAAATGTCTGAATATTTTTGATATTCGCATATCCCATTTCGAAAATAATTTAGAAATAAGTAAAAGAGTAAGTAATACGCCCATTTCTAGGATTAAAAACAAAATTCAAGTACTCGCAAAGCGTTTTGTGTTCGTACCGGCCGACAAAGCAGCCAACAATGTGGTGGTGGTATGACGTAAATACTACACGGAAGTCCGTAAGAATGAAATTATGCATTCAACTACATTCAAGGCCGTACGCTCAGAAGAGAGTCGTATAGTAAATAATCATGTCACTACTACAGCTCAGCTTAAGGCCTCCTCTGCACATGTGAAGGTCCCCACTATGTATTGGTTACCTAAACTACACAAAAAAAAAAACGTAAAATATCGTTTCATCTCTACCTATAGTAAGTTTTCTACTACTAATCTGTCGGTGCTTTTAACGAGTTCCTTAACTACTATCAAAGAACTTATCATTAATTTTTGTAATAAAACATAATAAAATAGTGGAATTAACCATTTTTGGAGTGTAAAAAATTCTTTGGATGTTTTAGATAAACTACGTGCTTTTGATGGTTCTTTTGATTCGGTTGACAGTTTTGACATTTCCACTCTTTACACTACACTTCCACATAATCTTATCAAACTAAAGTTTTCCTATCTAATTAAATGGTCGTTTGATAAATCTGATTGCAAATTTATTTGCTGCAACTCATATAAAGCCTTTTTTCTCAAATGAGAAAGGTTAATATACTAGATATACTTACTGGAGGTGTGATGAGATGATTTAAGCCTATAATTTTTCACCTTGACAACGTTTATGTACGTTTCGGCAATAAAGTTTTTCGACAGGTTGTAGGTATTCCTATTGGCACCAATTGTGACCCTTTAGTAACAGACTTGTTCTTATAATGTTATGAATCACAGTGTATGGCCAAACTCAGTAAAGAACCGTCTAAATTCTATTTAATTGATAAATTCAACAACACTAACCGTTATCTTGATGATATTTTTTCGTTGAATAATCAAGAATTCTCTAAATGTACTGCTGAAATTTATCCAAAGGAACTTACTTTAAATAAATCAAATATTAACAGCAATAACTGTCTTTTCCTAGATTTAGATATTTCAGTATTACACCAGAAACTCTACACAAAAACATACTACAAAAGGGATGATTTTTCTTTTCCTATTGTTAATTTTCCTTTTTTGGACGGTGATGTTCCTTTGGCACCGTCTTACGGTGTTTATATATCCCAACTCTTTCGCTATGCTCGTGTCTGTAGTGACGTTTCGGATTTCAATGAGCGTAATCTATGTATTACAAGTAAAGTATTAGGTCAGGGACTTCGTAACCACAAATTACTTAAATCCTTTACAAAATTTTCCATAGATACAAAGATTTGTTTGCAAGTTTTGCTGTAGAAAACTTATTTCAAACGGAATAGCACATCCTAAATGTTACGGTGATGTTGTTAACCGAGCCCGGAAATTTAGATACGATCCTTGTAAACATATCAATCCAGTCAAGGTTACCTATTCTACACTATAATTAAATCTTTGAATATTGTTTTTATTGGTAAAAAATATTGATTTTGTTTTCAGTAAATTAAAACCATACTAAATATTACACATATGTACTTTCACGGTACTACAATCTGTCAATACCTATGTTTTTGCATTGCACAAGGTCATGTTTTTCTCTGACTGTTAATGACGTCTTTACACTAAATCCATTGGATGTTGGATGTATACTGATTGATATTTTAGTCTTAGATACATGATATTTTTTATTAGTTGTTATTGGCTTTGAACTAGCTGTCAGTAACTGCGAGTATTCTCAGATCTGTACTCAGTGTATTTTTTGTTGTTACGGATGATGGACTGATATATACTCTGCCTCGTCCTGTCTGTGTTTTTGTTTGATGTTTTTCTATGTATAGATCTGATGAGTTAAGCCTTTTTCAACTGATTTTTATAGTTTGTTCCTATGTTGTGCTGTTACACCACTGTCCCAGATTAGAGTGAGTGTTGAACGCTCACAAACATGTTTAACCTCGCCACATTCTATATGTGCCTGTCCCAAGTCAGGGACCTGTAGTTCAGTGATTGTCTTTGGTTCATGTCTGTCATATTTTTTTTTCGTATATTGTTTTGTTATAAATCAGGCCATTAGTTTTCTCAATTGAATGTTTCATATTTTTCATGTCGGGGCCTTTTATAGCCGACTATACGGTATGGGTTTTTCTCATTGTTGAAAGCCGTACGGTTGCCTATAATTGCTTATATCCACTTCATTTCAACTTTGGTGGATAGTTGTCTCATTGGCAATCATACCACATCTCCTTTTTTTTTACATTCTCTTTAATTTCTTACTTTTTCTTTTCCTTACTTTGCATATTATATCTACCACTGGACGTTGAATTAAAGACAAATTGTTTTATTTGTGTTTATACTACAACTGGGTCGGACCTGTTGCTGATATACTATCGATGGTACCAAGTGATTCGGGACTTGCATATATTTTTAATTTATATAAACTAATTTTCCTGCAGACCTGTCAGAATAATCTCGTACAGAACTGTTCTAAACTGTTCAATCTTTAATATTGTCTTCCGTATTACACGAGCTGCTTCATATGTGTCATTTCGGTTCTTTTAACATCATGTCACCTTTATGAACTTAATATATGAAATTAAAATGCTTAATGATGGTCAAAAATTGATGTTGAAATATAAGTCAAGTAGATATAATCAGGAGATAAGTTAAACTATTATATGTACTAGTAATTCACATTGGTTTGTAATGTCCTTTAATGCAAGTTTGATCAAACACATCAAATTTACAATATTGTATTAAAACTACCTTGAACAGCCATGTATAACCATGAGTTTCAGTACAATTGAAGAAAATGTATCACATCAAATTTACAATACTGTATTAAAACTACCTTGAACAGCCATGTATAACCATGAGTTTCAGTACAATTGAAGAAAATGTATATTATATATATTCTTATATTTAGAAGTTTAAATTTGTTTTTTTAATTAATCTACGAGTCATAGAAATACAATAGAAAGTGACTATACCCCTTTCCTATAATAAGCGATTCGACTTTTCAGAAAAAAATGTACATACCCCTGTATAAAAGAATAAAACAGAAAGTCAGTAATACTTTATACTCCATTGTTAACTTATATGTTTATATCTGCGTTGAAGACATAGAAGATATGAAAGATAAGAAAATCAAGACTTTAACATTGTCCAAGATCGAGAAGTTTTTGAATTTTCTTAAGACTGGACAAAAAAGTCGTCTACCATCATAAGTTAACTGGAAGGAATGTCGTTATTATATATTCGTTTTCCTTAAGAGGAAAAACTAAAAGCATAACGCTTTTTCTGATGCAAATATAGATTTAGGGTTCTAAAATAAGCTTGTGTTTTAAAGAATTTTCTCAACTGGCTAAAAGTCAAACTTTATAACTTCTATAGATATGACTTTACAATATAAATCGTTAAAAACCAAATTTGTACGTATTTTTGCTATCAATATGACAGAACAATTAACAACAGTCATACAAGTTCAGCATCGTTTTTTTCTTCTTTAGGAACACCTGAAACGCTAACTTCTTGCTAGCTTAAGTCAATAAATGAGTTTAACTTTTCAATACACTTTTTGTAACGTTTGAAGTTTAACATCATTATATCTTCCATAACTGCCTACGCACGTTTCTTTACAAAATCTTTTACGAGTCGGTCGGGTAATTTATTTTTGCTGTGTCGTCGCCGTAAACATCAAATCAAAACTCGATCACGTTATTCAACGATTGATTGTCACGTAGATAAGATCCGTCCTTCTCTGTTGTGCTATACTCATTCATTTTTTCATTCGGTAATTGAAAAGCATTGAAGTCATTTACATATGCTTCAATATTGTTAGCAGTGGTCAAATGGGCGCTGCTATATTTGTTTACATTATGGACGTACTTAGTCTCGGATCGCGAAACTGCTTGTAGGCTCATATGATTTTGACTCTGTTGAACCTCGGGTAGAATCGGAATTATAATTCTGTTCATTCTGTGTTTAAACAGGCAATAAGTAACTGATTTGCCTATCGGCTAGTCTTAGAAAATGAAAACAACACGTTATTAATTTCATGCGTCCGAAGCGCTTTCCTGGAATTACCTTCATCAGGAACGCTCAAAGTCGAATATTTAAAAACCAAGGATGCCTAAGAACCGAAAAAGAGCCATATAACCAAAAAAGACTCTTAGTGACCACCATCTGCTTGTACATTATCTAGACCGTAATCCAAGTCTTCATCATTATAATCATATCAATAGTAATAGTTAAAGCTCTCGTTTAAACTTTGCAAACTAGCATTGATTATTCTCCCTTACGCAAACTTTTCCGTTG